TGTAAATTAAGGCCAACGTGGCTTTCAATTGAAATCTTCCCAAATTTCTTCCGGGGCCTATTTACAAAAAAAAAAAATACTTATTTGTCCGGGATCATTTTAACATCCAAAAGAATTTAGCATACGTTACTTGCACTTTCGTGACCCGCCCCCAAACATGTAAACTTCTTTCTTATAATCCGGGTGTGATTCGTCCATGAATCTATTGGGGTTGAATACATCTGGGTCCGTCCAATTAGATCTATGTTTATGAATCCCTACGAGATACACAAAGAACTCGGTGTTTTCTGGAAAAGTGTGACCATTGATCTCATCAGGTTTTCCATTTCTTCGAACGATCATTGGTAAAGGGCAGAATATTCTAGAAGCTGGTTAACAAAATGTATAAGATTAATGATTAAACTGGAGTTTCATTTTAATGCATATTTTTGACTGCATTATTACCTTCCTTGATGACTGCCTCACAATAAGCCAATTTATTGATTCCTTCGTAAGTTATTTGGAAATTTTGACCTCGTCCAAGTACAGTATCCAATTCTTTAAGAAATTTTTCCTTTACATGAGGATATTTGGATATCATGTAAATCGCGTAGCAAGCAGAATTTGCTGACTAGGTTATGGTTTGGGGAATCAAGTTATTTAATAAGAATCCGAAGTGCAAAAGTATATACACGTGTATGCCATACCGTATCAATTCCTGCGGTTATTATTTCAATGAGATTTAATGAAATTTCTACATCAGACATTGAGTGATGATTCAAACCATCCGCAACCCCTTTTGTTATATCGCGTGATGTGTTCAATGTTAGAAACATTTTTAACATGTCTGGGGCTAGCTCTTCGTCTGGCTTCCCATCAATCTCCTCTCTTTGAGTCTTAACAATATTAAGAAGGCTGCTCTTCAACCATTCAACTTGCTTCTTTGTTTTATTAGTGTAGTGACTAATTTCAGGTAAATATTTAACAAATTTTGGGATCATGGAAAACCAAATTATAGAATTAAGGTAACCAATAATGCACCCTAAAAATTCATCGCTTTCCTTTATTAAGCTATCGTGAATACTGGTTTCCTTGTTTTGTGATATGGTGTTATAATAGTTGGACATGGCGCATACGGATTTGCTGGCGGTAATGAGGAAGGTTGTTTCCATAAAATATCTTTTCATCCAACTGGGTAACTCCAACTCCACATCTTTCTCAAGTTTTCCCCAATAATAATCCATCCTCTGAAATCCTGCCTCATGAAAGGAGGCGAAGAGATGGCTTTGGCATAGAATCTTCGGATATATGCCCAACTTTCATAATTTAAATTGAGCGCCAATCCTGTGTTAAGTAATCCAACCTCGCTTAGACCACAATCAATATCAATACGATTGTGAAAGTTATCATTGTTGGTAGAACCTAGTATTTTGTGTGCCATTCTTCGTTACATAACCAGACTTGACGATGTGATCCCATATAAACTTCAAACATGTCACCATATTTGGACTGCAGCTCTGATGGCCACATTGAGATTTCGCGGACAATAGTGAAGATATTAACAATGAATGGAAGAGGAATCGGTCCTGGTAAGGGGATTTCGCGTGTAAAATATTTATTATAGTATCTCGTGACATAGGTTATAAGTAAGAATATTAAAATCGATGGCATGTCAATGTGTTCATGTAAAAACATTTTTATCTTGATTCCAGGGAAAATTCTACGTGGGAGGAGCGCTTGATTTTATATACTGTAGCAGGCTGATCGGCGAGTCTGTCGCTAATGACCAAAGGCTCGCGTAACCTGCGGATAGAAGAGTCCGTCCTTC